AAGCAAGTACAGCTGTTGTATATATTCAAATATGTTGGTGATAACCCAACCTTGAAAAATATTGAACGATGAGTGGTAACTATTTATGTCTTTATTTCAAATTAGGATGATAACACATCGGGTAAGCATGGCACTTTAATATACGTATCTTGTTAACCCAACAGTTCTTTTTAAGTAAGAGCAACATGTATATCGAGAGTAAAGGTTTGGTGCGTGACTTATCACTCATTACTTTCAGAAAGTGTGCATATTCTGTTTATCGGCAATAAATGACATAAGACGATTCATAAGGGTAAATACGATTTACTTCAGAACTAGGATATATTACTTAAATGTTAGGGGAAAATGTAAAAACTATGTAATTAACATAACTGTGGGCGGGTTTAAAGGATTAGGGTCCTTGCTTGGGCTTTGTGTTGGACGTGTAGACGACATTTCAAGGTTTGACGTATCAATGACCAAAATGATGTCTGATGCAATTCTCTGCCTTTTCAGGTGAACAATTTGCTTGCCTTTGCGGGTGCCACTAGTGGAGCGGATTGAGCTCGCGTTTTTGCGAGCACCCAGTGTCATCATTTTTATGGTGAATCATGAAACATGCTCCTGGTCTTGTCGTAATCGTGCAGTTGGCGCTACTTTTGGCAAGGGTTTCTTATGGTAATGGAAATGCTTATGAAAAGATAGAATGCTAGTGTATATGGTCATATAATTAAGACACAAACGACGAGTAGGAGTTGTTTATTGTTCCATAAACAACGACCACGACTTGTTATTTCTATATGAGATATCCACATTATTTACAGCCTCTTTTAAGGGTGTTAAATTAGGAAAAAGTACACGTTTTAAAATATTTATCCTACAGTGAAGTAGTCCTCCACACTATACATTCAGTGAAGAAGCCCATGAACATATTAACTATGTAACATACATTAATCGAAATAAGATGAACAGTTGAAGTTAGCAAATGATATTTTTCGGTCGAACGTCTATCAGCCAATAGTACATTATTGAATTGTGACTCCACAGTGATTTTGCAAGGCTACCTTCATAAATGTCATGACGCATTTTAGGCCAGGGTTCTATACTCGCATTAATGTGCTGTCTTATGATTGCATTAATTTCATGATTTACAGTATATATGAAGAACATTTCACGTGGGACCAACAGAGGGACTTATGACTATCGACTTGCTAATTACTTTTTTATATTCATGCTAGCTCAAACGATCCATTGGTTTGATTTATTTTTATGGTATCCACAAAATAAGTAGGATCCGATTTTTTTCCGTTTTTGTTGAAATAAAACTGAATTATATTTGCTGTTGCCAAATTGTTACAAAATGTTTGGGCACAGCAAGGCTACGTATTCACAACATATTGTGCTGGGCACAGTATAGCTGGACTGAAGGAGGGCCGTATTCCTCCTTGTGGGTGACCTGCTTGGCAATATGGGATAGGAAAACTGCAGGGGCTGAGGGCAGTCAAGTTGATGGTTCAGACAGATAAGAGAGATCATTTTACAAATGTGAAACCTCATTCCACAAAGGAATAGGCTAAAGCTGAAACTTGGTGAGATTTACAGAACAAAGGCAGTTAGTTCTAGTTTCTTACTGATACTCGATGATACATTTAATGAAACAATTAATGTGAATGTGTTTGTGTGTGTGTGTGTGTGTGTGTGTGTGTGTGTGTGTGTGTGTGTGTGTGTGTGTGTGTGTGTGTGTGTGTGTGTGTGTGTGTGTGTGTGTGTGTGTGTATGTGTGAAGAAGAAGTAGAAGAATTGTACAGCATAAAAATGACTACGTAGTTCGAATAGATATGTAGAATGCCCGGTCACATTTTTTTGAGTAAAAGAAAACACTACTTATGTTTACATTGCATGCATCGAATATCACGTTTCAAATATTTTACAATATGTACATATTATAGTTCAGCAAACAGAGATTATCATAACGCAAAAGATTTCATTCATCAGAATGCACTAAAAAGTTCAACTGGTCAGGAGGTGAGAGTTGCGGAAGATTACGATAAACATACAGATCTCCTTTCGAATATCTAAAGTGTGAATAAAGATGACAGCTTGCTATAACGTGTACTGCATTCCTGCAGATTTAGCAATGTCATCAGCTATAAAAATTTATGTCTAAATGCTCATGCAGACAAAGACCCAAATGTTTATAGGCATGATCATATTATATTCTAAGCAAATATCTCCACATTTATAAAACAAAGCTAGATTGAGTCTTTGAAGGGCATTAAGAAGTGATACACATAAGGAAAAAAATATGAATGTCAACGTCTTTATTATGAGGAACACAACGTTTCGGTGTATATACTCACCCCTTCATCGGGTGAATAAATGCTATGAGGCAGAGAACATATACAAGTACCTGTAAGAACAACAAAAGTAAAAAGATAGCAAAGAAGGAAACGTAACAAGGGAAGCCAACAGATAATTAGCGCTGATTACCCCGGCCTCCCGTTTGCCCATTGTCTATTGCCCATTACCGATCATTCATAAGTTAGGTTTTGGCTTTAATTTGTCCATCAACGTCCATTATCTCAACCTTAAATATTACGAGAATATGTAGTTTACTGAGAATGGATTAGACCGCTGACTTGTTTCCTGGCGATTGGGTGCCTCACTCACAGTGTGGGCTCAAACCCCGGACGGGAGTCAACCCCAAAAAAACACGAGAATCTGTACTTTACTAAAAAAGTGTTATCCCAATTATGACATTTGTCGTCAAGAAAGCACAATAAATATATTCGGCTTTGGATGGGTAATAATATCACAGACATTTACGGATATTGATGACGACTTGGTAATGACTTCGTAACGCACGTCTTTTCATTTCAGGGATTGGTCAATCAAAATTCATCTTGGGCGGGATGGTAGTTCGAGTTGAATAAGCATGTTAACTATGATCTTCTTAATGTAAAGAATGCCGCGCATGAATGTATTAATGAGATTCCCAGGTACATGGGGCCTTTTCGTCCCAAGGAATACGCACAGTGGAGATTTAAATGGGGATATGGTGTACATAATGTCATCAAACCAGACAACGTTGGTCCTTGACTGATTGTGGCGTAAGACACACTTATTCACTTACTTGTATCGGAAATTGAATGTTCATCTCAATTGTTATTCATGAACACGTAATATATGTTTAAAGAAATAAAACAGTGCCATAATAACTACAACTTTATTGACTTTATTGGGTAATCAAAAAAGAGATCGCGACGTAAAATAGCCCAAATATCATACGATTTCACTTGTCCACCACCTTGGGGGCAAGGCGAAAACATTTCAGGGCGTTTGAAGCCACTGAGAATGCCCCATGCAGAGTTGGACGAACATTCTGCGGTAACGCGGCTGAGTTGACCAGAGGCGATCAGCAGTATTTCCTGTCCAGGTTATTTAGGTCCGTGTGTGTGTGTGTGTATGTGTGTGTGTGTGTGTGTGTGTGTGTGTGTGTGTGTGTGTGTGTGTGTGTGTGTGTGTGTGTGTGTGTGTGTGTGTGTGTGTGTGTGTGTGTGTGTGTGTGTGTGTGTGTGTGCTTGATTTTTGAGCGGCATGATAGTTCGACTTGGATAAGCATGTTAACTATATAATCTTCTAGAGGTAGAGAATGCCGTGCATGAATGTTTTAATGAGATTCCTAGGTAAATTATGCCTTTTTGTCACCAGGAATACGCACAGTGGAGACTTAAATGGGGATAGGGTGTACACAATGTGCTACCTGGTAGATTGTGTGTCATCAAACCAGACAACGTTGGTCTTTGACTAATTGTAGCGTTAAACACACTTATTCATTTACTGGTATCGGAAATTGAATGTTGAAGTGACTTTATTGGGTAATCAAAAAAGAGACAGCGACCTATAATAGCCAAATTTCATACGATTTCACTTGTCCACCATCTTGGATGCAAGGCGAAAACATTTAAGTGTGTTTGAATGCCCCCCTGCAGAGTTGGACGAACATTCTGCGGTAGCGTGGCTGAGTTGACCAGAGGCTATCAGCAGTATTTCCTGTCCAGATTATTTAGGTGTGTGTGTGTGTGTGGGGGGGGGGGGGGGGGGGGGGGGGGGGAGAATATGTCTTAGTGTGAATAGGCATCACCAGTTTGGAATTGTACGATTCCGAACTTTCACGAGACTGTGTTTATGAGTCATTGTCAAATAGGGGAGACATGAAATCTCGGAAACAATACGCGAAAACGCGCATGCTCAGAACGGAAAATTTGGACAAGGCATTAAGTAATCCGCATGCGCAGAACGATTGATTTCAATACTTCCGCTAAGCGCTTCGAGTGCAGCGTCAAACGCGGGCCTGTAATCTAACACGCGAGAACTGACCAATGAAATCTGAGAAGTAGAAATACCGGTAGACGCTGTTGCTTGATTGACAATGTCAATCAAGAAAGGGAGGAGCTTAACGCTATCGTTCTCTCCCAGTAAATTCCGATGTCAAATAACGACGTTATTTGGACGGGAAAACGATGGTTTGAAAACGTCCAAATAACGTCGTTTTTCCGTCCAATGACCATATACGGAAATAAACGACGTTTTCGTGTTTGCAGTGTTAGAACCTTGCCAATGTAAAGTTTAAGACAATTTGTAATCTTTGTAACGCTGCAGTCGGCAATACTCAAGCCATATCACAGTGGTCCACAACTAATTGAGTGTCGACCAGACAAAGCAGCAACTGGCATTTCGAGCAACGTTCTAGGTTGTCGGGGTACAGTGACATGCAGTCAACCAAATCACCAAGACTGACCTCCCGATCCACTGAGTTGCATCTTATAACAACCATAGGTGAAAACCACTCACTTTAAACATGAGATCCCTACAGAAAGTTTAACACTTACCAAAGTCCATTTTATGTATTGGTTTAAATGTAAGCTTTTGTGTATCTGGTACACTAATTCCATGCATCCATAAACGCATAGATCAATCCATTGTGTCGTTATTAACAGTTGATACTTCTTTTCTTACAGGAGCAGGACGTTGGGCGAGTGAACCTCGTAAGTATGGAATGGCACAGTACAGAAATTGGACAGCAGAAATTGGCTTCATATATTGTACCAATGTGGGGATGGAGCGGCACAGTGTCACAGGACACATGATGTCACAGCACCAAAAGGGGTGGTTTCTGTCCGCGGATTCGTCATTGATACCGCCTGACACTGAGCTTTTGTGTATCGGGTACACTGATTCAATGCATCTTCGTATGTACGCATAGATCAATCGATGGCGTGTTTATTAACAGTAGATACTTCTTTTCTTCCAGTCGCAAAGATGATTGATGAATTTCGTTAGTATGGAATGGCAGAGTGTCACAGGGTAAATGGAGACTGATTGACTGAGTAGGGTTTTACTCCGCTTTAAGCAATATATTAGAAATGTCACACTAGGGGACATCATAAACGAGGTTGATATAATGTACTCAAGTGGGGAATTAATCCTTCGACGTGACCAGCGAACACTTGGCCATGCCACCGGATCTTGAATAGATAAATGAAGACTCAGTTTATACCAAACATGTTCTTGTAATGGAACATACACTTTTCTCCCATCAAACATACCTTTACAAAAATAGAATTATGTGGACGGATTGTGTTTTAATTTTAACATTCAGTAGCCACATCAAAGCACCAAAACGGGTGGTTTCTGTCCGCCGGTGTCGTGGCGGGTATCACCGAATACCAGGATACATTTCGGGGTAGCATCAGGTGGTATCCGCCAAGACTTTAGTAGCGATATCACAGTGCCAAAAGGAGTGGTTCTCTCCGCCGCATCCGAGGCGGAGACTATGGGATACTTACACTTCCGTATACCAGTAAGACTGGACTGTGATTTGAAAAAAGTTCCAGTCTTTGTGTATTGACAAATTCGAAAATGGCTCAAACGCAAAAATAAGACAATTTCTGTTTTCTTCGCACACGACAGAGAGCACAAAAGATGCTTTGAAGGGTATTTCTCTCAGGAAGCAAAATGTGGAAGCTTTGAGGTTGTGTTATGCCAGACCCATTCTCGTGCAAACTGCCACTTCAGCACTTAAGGAGAGAATGTTAAACGAATGTTAAATGTTAAAGATGGTGGCATCAGAAACGAGCATGATATGTAGTACTCACTATGGGGAATTGAACCTTCCACGAAACCGGTGATCGCTAGAAGTGTGGGCTACCCAAACGCCCCTTGAATAGATAAAATTAAGACTGGGTTTGGTTTGTTTTAACCATGAGTAGGATTCAAAGTGTTCGTGGAGCACCAATGTCAAGTGATCAAAATAGGTAGGTCCTTTCTTATCGCAGTTGATTAGCATTTTTATAGGGATGATGTACATTATAAGTTCTCAGCCAATCTCTTGGAGTATATATATATGGTGTGATGTCCCCTGTGTACCCACATCCATCAGGCGAGGGTTACACAGGCTCACACACAAGGTACATCGCACCATATGCCCCGAGGGTCCGAAATCTAAGTAATGCGTCTGGACTCTATTCTATCGATGAACTGTAATGATAAGACTACTTTTGAGCCAGAACTGAGCCATCTGCTTCTGATTGTTATTGTTAGTTGTTCTTGTACCATATTGATTGAGATATATATCAAACCTTCCCATCTTGGATTCGGAAGGTTTGGGATTACATTTTATTGAATTAACACATCAAAAAACGTCTGAATGCATCATCAATATATTTTCACTGGCAACTTTCTGGAATTTTAAACTGTCAACTGTTTATCCATCGTTACCAAAAACACTTTCCTAAACAGATGACGAAAACTGGTATCATCTACACTTCAGATGTGATCACACATGGATGAAAAATTTTAAAATCTAATCTGAGCATTTCTCATAAACTAAAATATTTAGCAAGTTATATTATCACACCTCAGCAGTTTATTCACAGTTACTAATTGATGAAAACTCACTTTGTATTATCTTCAACTCGGTTGTTATGCCACATGCCTGAATCCGTCTGAAGTATGGACTGGCACAGTGTCACAGAATGCATGGAGTTAGACTGGCTGACTAAGTAGGGTCTTACTCTGCTTTTAGCAATATCCCAGAAATATCAAGGCGGGGGACAGTGGAAATCGGCTTCATATATAATACCCATGTGGGGAATTAACCTTCGATGTGACCAGCGATCGCTACAACAACTTGGCTACCCAAACGTGCCTTGAATAAATAAATGAGGAGTCAGTTTAGACCAACACCTATCTATGTTCAAATTTTCTATTGCATTAAATTTGAGCATTTGTATATCGGATACACTGGTTCCATGTATCTATTTACGCATATAGCTTTGAATTGTGATAGATCAATCGATTGTGTGTTTATGAACAGTAAATCATTCTTTTCTTATTTCGCAGAAAAGCTACATGAAGAACTATGTAAGTATTGAATGACACAGTGTCACAGGCTACATGGAGATTGACTGACTGACTGATTAGGGTTTTACTGCACTTTTAGCAATATTCCAGCCATATGTGCCGAAAAATAATTGAGTGAGAACCAAACAATGCAGCAACTGGCATTTCGAGGACACGGTTTGTGTTTAAAGTAATCTCAATCAGAAAGTTCACATTCAGTAGCCATATCAGAGCACCAAAAGGGGTGGTTTCTGTCTGACGGATTTGGGGCGGATATCACCGGAAGCCAGGGTGCTTCTAGGGTAGGTATCCGGTGGTATCTGCCAAGAATCCGACGGACGCAGACATTGAGACTGACTGAGCAGGGTACTACTCTGCTTATAGCATTTTCTGTGTAAGTATTGTGGTAGACTCATATGAATGAAACATCATTTCCCTTAAAATAACCAATATGTGACTAATACGTTGTTTTACAGACCTATCAGACCATGTAGTATCCGAGCCAGCCTATTTTGGTAAGTATTGTGGTTACGGCCTGTGGCACTTGTGACTTGCTTTAAAACATCCACAACATGAAAAGTCACGTTTCTATTTTCCGTAAACTTCTCAGATACTACCCTATTCTAGATATGTTCAGCAGCCTTCAAATTTCTTTGCAATTTTCAGGTGCTTTAAATGTCTTAATTAAATGAAATGTCCAACCAAATGTTTGACATTTTTATAGGGTATCCGGAAGGTATCCGTCTCGTAAACATTTCAGATCCAAAATGAAACGGTACCTGGAACCTGGTTACCGGAGCGTTGTTTAGACAATGTAAACCTGTCTTTCATTCTGTTATTTGTATCAATGCATGGTTAAGGTAGTCCGATGTAAATGGGGATGTTTTATTAATATGTTTATTGTCATGTCTTTTATCAAGTTAATAATTTTGATTACCTTGGTAATTCTTTCGAGACAATGTTTATTCATGTCATCCACAATGTCTTAACCTGAAACAATGTCTGTTTACCAGAGACGCATCTACTGTATGTCAATGAAACTTAGAATATGTCATCCTCGGGGCGGGTCTGAAAAGGTCGTGAATCACTGCCGTGTCAGGTCAAACGCATTATGAATCTGTACGCTGTAGTTTTCACAAGCATGCTATTTACTGCAGATAGGGATGTCAGAGGTCTTATACAGTTAATGAGTAGTATGATCTGGCAATAAAAGTAGCAGGTCACGGTGACCTACTTTTAGCCTATTTCTGTTGTATTAAAATCCACCTCTTTATCATATTGTGTTGTCGAAATGTTTCTTAAATGTATGTAAACTATAGTGATTCGTCCTCAAAGTCCCTAAAGTCAACGTGATAAAGTGATACGTTTCTTATCATATTTATTGAAGCTTGAGGTCACGTTTAATGTCATGATTACATGGAGTATTTAAGACGTAAACCACGACCACTTTGGTATATCGTGTGATTGGTTTCAATTCCCAAACCGGGGGTCACGGATGGTATAGTCGTCTTAGGTGTTGCAATTCGCTGTGCAGAGTTACGTCCCTTGGGCACGCCACAAACCTATGACAGTGGGTTCGTTTCCCGGTTCGCACAAATCATATTTCCAGATCTGTCAGCAACATACCCGTGCTTGTGGGTTTCACCAAAGTGGTAAACGTCTGAGATTCACTTCAGGATCAATGGAATGGAATTACCAGCCTTGATTATCCACTGAAACAGATTCCATTTGGCATAAACCGCAAAATATGATTGACCCTTTGCAAATCATAGTAATGGGAGTGATGACGTTGCTTGTTTAGCAAGTGATTAAAATGCAACTCTAGTTTCTTTTATTTCTATTATTGACATTTTTGTTTGATAATGCTGATCATCACTTTCAAAAATGTGTTACTTTATTAAGGAGTGTTATTCTTTCTATTTAAAAATATACCACAGCTGCAGGTATTTTATGAAAGCATAGTAACAAATAACATTGTAATCACATTTGTCCTTCTTTGATGATGTGCTCAAAGTCTTCATACTGGTTATGAAGAGAAAAACAGATCAATTGTAGTAGTCGCCATTCACGAACCAGGCACCATTACGCAATAAAGCAGCATAGGATAGTGAGGGTGTTGCTGTTATTTGATACGTCAGAGTGACCAGTCGTGTCATTTCTGTGGAACAGAATACTTGTAGACTCATATGAATGAAACATCATTTCCCTTAAAATAACCAATATGTGACTAATACGTTGTTTTACAGACCTATCAGACCATGTAGTATCCGAGCCAGCCTATTTTGGTAAGTATTGTGGTTACGACTTGTGGTATTTGTGACATGCTTTAAAACATCCACAGCATGAAGAGTTACGTTTCTAGTTTCCGTAAACCTCTAAGTTACCACTTCAGTTTAGACGCCTTTAGTCAGCCATCAAATTTCTTTGTAATTTTCAAGTGTTTTACATTTGTTAATTTAACGAAATGTCCATCTAAATGTATGATATTATTTAGGCAAATCTTAAAGGAAACGGATGCGAAGGGGTGGTTTGTTGCAATATTGCCATGTGAGCTCAAAACGACAATGTATGAATGTTAAGGCTCTGTACATCACGTACATCTCAGGTAAATGCTTTGATACACTTTCAGCGACGCATTTAATGGTTTACATTTAGAGAAATATCCATGAGGTGCATTTAGGTTGAACACATAATAGTTGCGGTAGTGTACATGTCATATTTATATTTACAAGGTTTTGAAACAATTGTAGATATTTGAAAAACAATATTTGTTACTTATATTATTCTTGCCATTTACTGATTGGTTGCTGTGTTTGGGAAATCGAAAAAATATGATAAACATTCCACTACTAACCGACCCATTTTTAAATTTTGGAAAGGGATGAGAATGCAGAATCTTTTATGGCCTAATACGTTATGAATGTGCTGTTCCTTTCTTGAGTCATAATGGCATGCTTTAGGAAACACGCTAGTTATTGCCCAGTGGTAGATTAAGACATTAATAGACTATGCTTAACTGGGGTTACCTTAACTACGTTGGAAACACATCGCTTCCTTTTCAACAGATTTAAAGAGGTTACCCAATCGAGTCTTTTACGTTGTTCCTCATACGTTCCAAGTGATGACATTATTGACATTGTTTGCCTCCGACCACGTTGCCGCTTCAACACTGGTCTGTATTTGACCTAAAGTTTAACAAATATTTGACAATGCCGTCGCATTCTTTACAACAATGTTCAGTCAGTTGTGCTTTTCCAAAAAAGGTACAGTATCCTTTCAAAATAAAATTGTTATGGTCATTGCCAAAAGTGTGTCTGTATTTCCGAAAATAGTTGAATGTGGACCAGACAAAGCAGTTACTGGTATTTTGATTAACGTTCTAGGTTGTCGGGGTACACTGACATACAATCAACCAAATCATCACGACTGACCATCAGACCCATTGAGATGCATCTTATAACAACCATAGGTTACCAGGGACCACTCTAAACCTGGGATCCCTGGGAAAACTCACTTTGCATTATCTACAACTCGGTTGTTATGCTACATGCCTGAATCTGTCTTAAATCTGCAAAATTCTCGTGAACTCACTTTTATCTTAATATCTATTTCTCTGATTATTTTCAATCAAAGTGAATTACACGCAATATTTATTCGCTAACATTAATTATGTTCATTCATTTTTGTTGATAAATATACAACGCATGCGAATCGATGGCGTTTGATTGGCTAACCAAGCAATTATCAAGTGTTTTACATTTGTTAATTTAACGAGATGTCCATCCAAATGTATGATATTTTTTAGGGTATCCAGAAGATATCCGTCCCGCTAACGTTTCGGATCCAAAATGATATGGTACCTGCAACGTTTCCGGAGATTTTCTTGAAAACGGAAACCTGAAATGTTATTTGTATTATTGCATGGTTATGGTAGTTAATGGGAATGCTTCATCATATAATTTTGCTAGAATAAAACATCACACGAACATCATATAAACTTCAGTGTCTTGAATACCCCTGGAATTCTTTCGAGACAAAAAGTATTCATGTCATCCCCAATGTCGAAACCTGAAACAATGTCTGTTTACCACAGACGCATCTACTGTATGTCAATGAAATTTAGAACATGTCATCCTTGGGCCGGGTCTGAAAAGGCCGTGTCAGGTCAAACGCGCTATGACGCTGTCCGCCGTAGTTTTCACAAGCATGCTATTTACTGCAGATAGTAATGTCACAAGTCTTATACAGGTAATGAGTTATATGATCACGTGATTACAATCTGACAATAAAAGGAGCAGGTTACGGTGACCTACTTTTAGCCTATTTTTGTTGTATTAAAATCCATCTCTATATCAAATTGTGTTGGCCTTGGAAATGTTCCTAAAATGCTTGTAAACTATAATGATTCGTCCTGAAAGTCACTTAAGTCAACGTGGTTTGCTCCCTGTTCTGCAGTCACATATTTTAGGAAAGCGGAAGTGATGATAACACACTGAAAGCACATCGTGATGTGTACTGCTTCAGAAGACCTTAAATATAAAATGTTAATGCAAGGATATAACCAATCTTGAATATCCACTGAAACAGATTCCATTTGGCGTAAAAAGGGCAAAATAGCTGTAAACATTATATAAATGGCCCTTTGAAAATCATGGTAATGGGATTGATGACGTTGCTCTTGTTTAGCAAATGATTAAAATGAAATTCTAGTTTCTTTTATTTCTATTATTTTTGTTCACATTTTTGTTTAATAATGCTTATCATCACTATCATAAATGTGTCACTTTATTAAGGAGTGTGAACACGACTGCGTCTTTTTGGAATCCAATTTTAAATCCTGAAGTTATAATTATGTTAGTAAGCATAATGTATGTTCTTACAAAAATGGAACAACTATTTACTCATGGCGAGGTAAAAGTAGTAAACACACAGACTAAAACAAATCCTTAAAACTCAATAAAGCAACATGATGAAAGCTAAAACTGTTTCCCAAAAATAATTTATATTTCTTATTTTCTTTAATACTTGCTACCGAGTAGTTTAGTATAGGTCACATTACAGTTGAGATCGGGTGGAAGATTTTATGTTCTGTTTATAATGTTTGCATATTCTGCAGATAAGCGTGGAAGGTGCTTCAGAATCGTGAAGCTGAGCTGTCAACACTTAAAAACCTATCCTTCATTCATATTTATCCATATTGGGGCGCATCGCTGTTTCAGTTCACTAAGATACTGTCTGCTTTAAGAAAGTATCATGGTGGCGTTCTTATAGTACATCAGCGCAAAACAACCGGTTCAGGGGACTGTTCAGTCTTCATAACTGTTTAACGAAATATTTGGGTCAATCCTCACCCGTGATTTGGTTACATGTGACGTTTTTAAATCACAACAAATCAGAAATTACATAGATGTGTTCAGAGTAGGTGTCGACCCATCAGATATGTTTAGTATGTGTGATTGTAAACGAAGTTCACTCCTTTGTCCATTGACAAATTCGAAATTGGCTCAAACGTATAATAAGACAATTCCTGTTTTCTTCTCGCACGACAGAGAGCACAAAAGCCACTTTGAAGGGTATTTCTTCCAGGAAGCAAAATGTGGAAGCTTTGAGGTTGTGTTATGCCAGACCCATTCTCGTGCAAACTGCCTCTTCAGCACTTAAGGATAGAATGTTAAACGAATGTTAAATGTTAAACACGGTGGCATCAGAAACGGGCATGATATATAGCACTCACTAGGGGATTTGAACATTCCACGTAACCGGTGAACGCTAGAAGCGTAGGCTACCCAACCGCCCCTTGAATAGATAAAATTAAGACTGGGTTTGGTTTGTTTTAACCATGAGTAGGATTCAAAGTGTTCGTGGAGCACCAATGTCAAGTGATCAAATTAAGTAGGTCCTTTCTAATCGCAGTTAATTAGCATTTTTATAGGGGTAATGTACTTTATAAGTTCTCAGCCAATCACTTGGAGTATATGGTGTGATGTACGTACCCTGTGTACCCTGAACCGTCAGGCGAGAGTTACAGATGCTCACACACAAGGTACATCCTACCATATGCCCCAAGGGTCGGTTGACAACAAATTTATGTTACCAATATTCATTCACACATGTCCGGAATCTAAGTAATGAGTTTGGACTTTATGCTATCAATGAACTGTAATTATAAGGCTACTTTTGAGCCACCACTGAGCCATCTGCTTCTGTTTGTTATTGTTAGTTGTTCTATTATCATATTGAGTGAGATATATATCAAACCTTCCCATCTTGGATTCGGAAGGTTTGGGATTACATTTTATAGAATTACAAATCAAACAACGTCTAATTGCATCATCAATATATTCCACTGGCAACTTTCTGAAATTTTAGTCACTAAGTCAACTGTTTATCCATCGTTACCAAAAACACTTTCCTCGACAGATGACGAAAACTGGTATCATCTACACATCAGTTTTGATCACACATGGATGAAAAATTCGAAAATCTAATCCGAGCATTTCTCGTAAACTAAACTTAAATGGATATTGAATGAGAAAAACATTTGGAAAGAACAATCTGTCGCAAAGCAGTTTCTCTTCAGAGTGGTAGAAATAAATATACGATATAATATCTACTATGTAAATAGTAATAGCTTGCTTGTTCACCTTGTAAAAATATTTAGCAAGTTATATTGTCACACCTGAGCAGTTTATTCACAGTTGTTGATGAACTATTTGATGAAAACTCATTTTGTATTATCTTCAACTCGGCTACATGGCTGAATCCATTGTAAGTGTGGACTGGCACAGTGTCACAGGATGCATGGAGTTAGACTGACTGACCAAGTCGGGTCTCACTCTGCTTTAGCAATATCCCAGAAATATCAAGGCGGGGAACTGAAAACATCGGCTTCATAAATAATACCCATGTGGGGAAGTTTAAAATTTTGAGAATCTGTACTTTACTAAGAAAGTACTATCCCAAATATAACATTTGTTACATTTGACCACTTTCCAAATGGCATTGTGTGTTCACATCAATTATAGTAATTATGAACCACGCACCATTGCGCAATAAAATAAAGCAGTATAGGATTCTAGGGGTGATATTGTTATTAGTTACTTCAGAGTTAACAGTCATGTAATTTCTGTGGTACAGTAAACTTGGACACAAGACTCATGTCAATGAAACATCGTTTCCCTCAAAATAATCAATATATGACTAAAACGTTGTTTTTACAGGCTTTCCAGGTATAGCATCGAGATCCTTTCTGTGTAAGTATTGTGGTTAGGACATCCACAACATGAAAAGTCACGATGCTATTTTCCGTAACCTTCTCCGGTACTACCCCATTATAGATATCTTCAGCAGCCTTCAAATGTCTTTGTAATTTTCAGGTGTTTTACATGTGTTAATTTAATTAAATGTCCAACCAAAAGTGTGACATTTTAAGAGAGTATCCCGAAGTTATCCGTCTCGCAAACTTTTCGGATGAAACGGAACCTGGAACGTTAAGGGAGCGCTTTTGGAAAACAGAAACCTATATTTTCATTCTCTTATTGGTATTAATGCATGGTTATGCTAGTCTGATGTAAATGGGGGTGTTTTATTATGTTTATTGTCATTTCTTTTCTCAAGTTTAAAATATTGCCAGAATTAAAAATCACATGGACATCATATCAAATACAGCGTCTTGATTACCTTGGGAATTCTTTGAGACAATGTTTATTCATGTCATGTGTCAGTTTACGCATGGATTAATCGAAATTGTGTTTTTTAACAGTAATATAATTTGTTTCTTCCAGCCGGAACCGTCATGGGTAAGTACAGAATGACAAAACGTCACAGGATACATGTATATTGGATGAGTATGATTTTGTTCCGCTTCAGCAATATCCCAGAAATATCATAGCTGGGGGCAGCAAAAATGAGTTTCAAATATTGTACCCATCTGGTATATTGAACCAACGACGTGTCAAGCGATCGCTACAACCACTGGGCTTCGAATCGAATTTGTGTTTTTTTACAGTAATATAATTCGTGGAATGACAAAGCGTAACAGGATACACTACTGCCTAGAAGTTCATTCCCCTTACACGCATGGGCAACGCGTTACGCAACCAGTGTGCATCGGGTTGGTCACGCGTGTGAGACCCGTGTGCAACGCGTTGCACACGGGTGTGCACCCCGTCCGCCACTCGTGTGCAACGCGTGACACACTCATTAGAGGGGGAACAAACTTTTGACCAAAGGAGGACCCGTCTTAAGCTGAACCTGGAGGTGGTAACAAGGAGAGAAAATTTTGTTATCCTGACGAAAAATGATAATACACATGTATTTCCTAATGTCTCCTTTCTTTATGTGATTTTGTGGGAATAACATGAATACTGTTGCGATTAAATAGATCTGTTTTGTTTTATACGACCATTGCTTCTAAATCCGATGGTGTTAAGAGAATACATGGTCCTGGAACATGTTATTGCAATTGAAATGCTTTTATTGTGATCTGACATTAACCGTCTGTAGTACGACTTTCAGTGATAATATGTATGAGGTTTGGCGGCGCATTGTTTTTATTGGACCCTAATTACTTTATGATGACTTGGACTCTTTATCACAGCTCCATACCCGTGAGGCTGGAAAAGAGCAGCATGTAATTAATGAGGGTGGGTTATATCATTGAGGATACACTTGAGGGAGAGAATACTAATTACCGTACTACAGGAAGAGACCTGTAGACGTAAGCGCGGGGTTGTGTTTTAGCTGGCCGTTTGATAATGGCCGCCAGGAGAAGTGAGCTTTGCCTGCATCATCTAAAATAAATAATAAGATACAGCAGTGTTATTTTCACGGTCTGTTGAATAAACTCCCAGCGCAACGGTCAATGTATCTTCTACTTGATCCTTGATACATCATTTTGTCTTTCACAATATATAGTATTTCAACGTACAAAGGACACTGATCTAAAGCAATTCCGCGGGAGTAGTTGTTACCTGTGCATTACTGTATTTTCCCAGTGAGTACCCGGATGATATAGCAGAAATCTAGACTTGTTCGCGACCTGTGCTCGCCATTTGTAAGCGCATTTTAATTGAAAGTAGAAGGACGTATGGTCTCACTGATCAACAAAAATGAAATACAGTTTTTGAAATGTAGGTATATTTGTGGGGAGCATCGGTAATGGTGATGCAGTTTTGATAAGTCACTTGCTTGGTAATTGTGCGATCTTCGTGTACACTATTTTGACTTGCAACACAGAGTAAATATTTCACTGAACATTGCTTATTTTACCGTGTGTATATGTTTACATTCAAAATGTAAACAGATTTCACTAAGGAAATGTATTAAAACGCCTAAATATGCAGTTTATTTTACAAATTAACTGAAAAATATGTCCATCTTTATTAATATGATAACGAATTCCAAATATTTGTTTATGTTTAATACCATCACCAAGTACAGTTCTGTATTGTTTGGCTTCTTTTCTTAGCATAATTAATATATTGTGATGTGTTTAAGCTCTCTTGGTCGTCTTTATCATTTTTAGTCAGTCGGTTAAATAAATGAATGGATTATTCAGTCAATTTGTAAAATGACTGAAATATTTAGATATTTAATAAATTGCCTGAGTGAATCATATTTTACACATTGACTGTAACATATACACGCTTACAAAAGAAAATACTTGTGAAAACACCGTCTATCGCGCATCGAAAAACTTCCCAACCAAACGGAAAGGAACAAGAATGATTCTGTTCAAAGCTGCAGCGAATGAATGAAAACAAAATGCAAATATCATTATAACAACCTACCAAAGTTATAATGTATCCGGGAATATCAACATACAGGAACAATATCCATTGCGTCTGCAGCTGTACAAAAATACTTATTCGATGTAAAATGTCTATGTGAGAATCAAATACTTTAATAATAATTATTTGGAAACAATATTTGGAATATATATGAAATATATTAAAATTTTTAAATATATCGTTTTTAAACGTTATTTAAATGTATCGAATAGTATAACCCGTGTTTGTTTCTTAACTGATCACTTATTTTGTTTCAATTGTTTCACATAGGTGCTAAGTTAGCTGAGAAAGCCGACGTGACAACTATTTTTATAATGTCCACGGTTCTTAAAAACATACATTGAGTTAGATAACAATGAACAACCGGTCAGTGTATTATCGGTTACCCTTTGAACAAAGTATGTTGTTTTTACATCTGTACTTCACGCCATGATATGAGTATTCCCTAGGTTTAGTAACCCTACCTTCACATGTAAACACTTACTTTTGACATATCCACTGTGCAAGATAACAGTAATTAATCAATCAACGTATTTCCTGTTGATCCTTTGATGTCCGGGAATGATCAGTTGATTTACAAAAAAAGTAAAGCAACTGATCATACATCACTTGCTGGGCTGCGACGTGCATAACTCACATTCCACCTCACTTCAAACCTGGATTTAGATTAAATAATTACCCCAGGTACAAGAAAGACCAAATTTGAACCTTTATCGGGTAATCTGAGTGGTGCTACAACTAAGTATACATGTTATAAATTCATTAACTGAGCAGCAAGTGAATTACGACAAATACAGAAGTGTAGGGTTATACCAGAAAATGTGGATGACAACAAGGGAGTAGTAATTGTATCATCCACGCAATCCGAAATCCGCAAATGCTTTCACTCAGGGATACTTTTTTATTATCAAACTGTAACAATCAGGGGTATTTCCAAATGACGACATCCGATGAGCTTTCGCCGTTATTTGTCTGTTTGTTTAGGCTGAAGAAATTAATTACCATGCGCCCTTTGTTGAAATCTTCATACATCACGGGTAACCAATCAGTTTTAAAAAATGCGTAAGTTTATTTAGCTGTCCTTGCAGACTGGTAGCCCAGTCTCTTGTCACGCTCGGTTGCGTTAACGAGCAAATTGACTCACGGCAGCTAGTAAGCCAAAGCGGAAATCCAAAGGTCGTGTTACCTGAAGAATCAACCTTCATTTGCGAAATATCTACTGCTCTCAAAATCAATATTTCTCCCAATACTAAAAGTCAGAACTTTCTAACCAAGGAGTACCAGTTGAAACTGGTCGATGGCTGAACATTCCCAGGGAAGACAACCAGTGTCCACTCTGTGATTCTATCGCCGTGGGAGATGAATTGCATTATATATTCCGATGTGAAGCTTTTCACCAACGGCGATATGAACTCTTAAATAAGCAATATCTTAAGTTTCAAAACATTTAAGAAAATTATGACCACTAACAGTGTAAGAAATCTTAAAGGCCTATCTAAATTCCTTAACAATGTGTACAATACAATTGGTAAATTGTATTAGTATCCACGTATCCTATTTTTATTAAATTGTACATAATAAAAATTGTAGATAATTGTATGTCATGTTATTCTAAGAATAAATGAGTTTGAGTCCGACACCCGAGAAGAAGCCAGAGATTAGTGCCCCTTTTTGAATAATTTACAATCATGTGTTTTACGGTTAGCTGTGTTGGCTTAAACATATTTTTATTTCAAAAGAAATCTGGATCGGTAAACAAGCAAAACATGCTTATGTAATCCTCTCCAGGTAACAACTTAACAACAGCTGGATATATATAAGAGAGTGATGAACATAAACATACAAAATGCACAAATGAAAGCAAGCAAGTGGTGTCTTTGAAATAAGGTAATGCAGTTTTCCTTTACTACATGCATAAAATTAAGCTACTCAAACCTTTTGCTTTTGACAACTGATTTAAGAAGAGTCACGTTTGTAGAACTGCTTAACTACTGCCATGTAATATAATTTTTAGACCATATCCATGTGTGTAGAAATACACAGTGTTTCTGATATTATCGTATTTTTTAACAGTTATAGAAAAAGTGAATTGCATCTTCAAGGTGATATCCACAAGTGCAGTCTGGTATGTCTGATACATGTCGTCTAAGCTTATCAGCGTTTAAGTCACTGCAGCCGAGCCAAAGGCGACAGTGGACAATTTGCCATGATCTATGAAAATATTTGAAGTCAAAATTATTAATAATTGCATCAGAACGATTAATTAAGGATTTGATTTCTTTTAATGAGCGAGCATTAGTTACTTCATCGGATAGAGGGTTCCGCAGGTTGATCATATCCAGAAGAAATGATAATAAGCATAGGACTGTGTTCTACATTTGATTGTTTGTATGTTGAATCTTTTTCTAAGGTTATATTTCCTGTTATCAGAGAATTGAATATACACTTTTCAAATAATTTGGCTAAGCAACTTGTGAGTGCTACAAGTCTATAATTTGAGCATTCATGTTCATCGCTGACACTGACACCGCATCAGCCCGGCAGTGGACTTGACACAATTATTTGCGCACCGATTATATAACTCCTACAGACAGGTGGGGTGGTTGTTCAAAGCGAAACGGACGACCCCGTCTGTTATCTAATAAATGCTGTGCGGCGCCTTTGATCTTGCCTCCAACCATACACCTTATAGTAGTAAACGACGATCAGGATGGCCTGGAAATAAACACAATTCTGTCTGCCCAATGCATCCACAATTAACTAGAATGCTTCATATCTACAAATATATATAGAAAATAGATATTTGCCCACAGCAAATATTCATTTGCTTAATTGCATCAGTGTGGTTTATGAGAACATGTACAATGCTTTCTTACGCTTGGTGAGGCAGACTGAAATTGAACGTTAGGATAACGTCAGCAGGGATAAAAGAGGTCATACCAAATAACTTTATTTACTAGTGGAAAAATCAGACATTCCGATCAACCACTACAGGCCCCGGCCGGATC